CAGGACGGGGGCAACACTGAGGGTTGCGATCAGTTGCTGGACACGGAAAAAGACAAAAAAACCCAAAAAACAAAAAAAAACCGGATTCCGGAAAACGGAGGGTTCAAAAGCCCCTAGCGAGGAGGCTCCGCCCGCTGCACACGGTCGCACTCCCCAACTTGCCGCCTCCACCGCTAAGGCGGCCCGTGGGCGCAGCCGCTCTCACCTCAAGGACCCAGGGCGCGTGGGAGCCGCCCCCAGGTGCCCTGCAGGCGGCGTCGGTCACGTGACAGGCAGTGAGGCGCGAGGTGCGGCGCCCGCGGAGACCCCGAAGCGAAGGAAACAGGCCCCGCCCCTCCGGGGGACGGCTGACGCCGCGGCGCATGCGCGCGCCTACGCCTTCCGCATGTAGGTCCCCGCTGAGTTCTGTGTGGCTCTAGGGTCAAGATGAGTTCTAACTTGGGGAGGAAGTTCGGTTGCAGTTTTTTCTCGGTTGAAGCTGAGGTCTCAAGGTCTAGCGAATGCCTGAAATGTGGTTTTAAAGGGGGCATTACATCAGCTGTCCGGTTATAGGGTTTATAAACCCTTTGCCGTATTTCTCCACTCCGCTGTCTGTTCTCTGACCCCCTGACTGGTCTTTCTGTTTAGGGTCCGTGAGCTGATGTCTTCTGCTATCTCCTCCGTGCTCAGGTTTCCTAAAGCCTTCTCTCCAGGGCAGGCTGCTCTCCCCTGGGTCCCAGTTCTGCGGTTCTCGCTTCCCACCAGACAGGTCCGGGTGGGTATCCTGGTACCGCCTGAAGCCGACGTGCGCTTCCAGCGTTCTGAGTGTCTCCGCGACTCCTGCCCAGACGTGGTTTCCATGTGTAACTGACTACGAAGTGGTCCTGCCAGCCCTTTTTGAGATGAAAAGTAACCCAGAAAAAAGTTCCTAGGCATGTTAATACTTGCTAAGAGTACAACATAGTGTAGACCTGTTTAGATGAAAATCAAAGACACAGATAGCTTTTATTTTTAATCCGTGCAACTTGAGTTTTCTTTAATGAGGAAACATTAAAAATGTATCAGCCTGAGGAAACCAAAGTCAAATATTTGAAGAGTAATTTTAAAGATGAAATTGAGGGGCCGGCCGGTGGCGCACTCTACCTCGGAGCTTGAGAGCGCGGAGGCGCTCCTGAGGGTTCGGATTCCATATAGAGACGGGTCAGCTCACTGGTTGAGCGCGGTGCAGACTCGACACTGAGGGTTGCGATCCGTTACCGGTCACGAAAAAAGACAAAAAGAAAAAAAAAAGAAAAGATGAAATTGAGATCATAGATGATTTGCAATGCAGAAGACTAAGGGAGAGGGGGAAATCAAAATTCATGATTTTGAGAAGCTCTTGTGATTGATAAATTAGTTAACCGTAATATAGTGCATTATGATTGAGACTTTGAACGCCGAATTACATGCCAAAGTACTGCCAAAAGAGTATTTTTCTAAAAACAAGTTTTGTATTGTATTAATAATGGAGCGCTCTGTAAGAAATAAGAAAATTAGTAGTCGGGCCGGCCCGGTGGCGCACTGCTATAGTGCGCCGCTTGGGAAGCGCGGTGGTGCTCCCGCCG